CTTCCTCAAAGGCAGTAAGTAAGAGTGAAGGCTTCGGGAGAAGATAAGAGATCGGGGGATGTAATGGTGTTGCAACTGTCTTTTCTAATGATTCAAGTTCACCATATATTTTACTGATTTTTGCGATGTAGAAAGATCCCATGCTGTCAGCTAGGTCTTTCAAAGACGTTGAGGGTGGGTGCGCTACGCGTTTATTCTTACCCATAAGACTATTAACAGTTGTAAACAATGCTTTTTGGTCACCGTCACACGCGTCTATCATCTCTGAATAATAAGTTTCCTTAGCTTTTTTGATAAGTTGGTTAACACGGTGACACTCCTCCTTGTAGCGCTGGTGGTGAATGGTTAATTTGCTTCTTCACCACAGATTTTCTGCCTGTCTGCGATCCCTCTTTGCAGCAAGAATATCATCATTAATCCATGGTTGAAGGTCTCTCTGAACCAGGGTTTTTGCTTTCAAAGGTGCCAACTGGTCCAATGAATGGGACAAAATTTGGTCGTAGTACATGACACATTCATTCGGATCACAGTTCAAGAAGTTCAGTTCCTTAATTTTGGTAGACACTAAGTTATGGAGTTCGCTGATGTCAATGTCTTTTATTTTTCTGTATGACACTTTGTCTTTTTTCGGATGGGGTTTGCCAAACTGAAGATCAGCTTGAATGATGTGATGATCAGAAATTAGATGGCTCACTACACAGTTATTAACTAGGGCATCATCCTCCCTAGATAGGACTAAATCTAAGGTGTGGCCACGCACATGCGTGGGACCTGTGACATGCTGGACTAATCCAAATGAGGTTAAAAGAGCTGTGAATTGCTTAGTTTCAGTGGTCATTATGCTGTTAAACATTATGTAATATTGCATCAAAATTTGAAAAAAAAACCATTTTGGGCACTGCTCTCATGATGACCATTTAAGAAAAACCATGTCACTTACTGTTCTCAAACTTACAGGAAAGAAACATGGGACTAAAATACAGCTTCAGTAGGCAATGCAGTCTGTTTGGTAATTCTTTCTGCCAGTTAAACAGTTTTTTTGTGAAAATTTAATTTTTCACATATTGGCATTTTCAAGGTGTGACTTTGAAGTTCCACGGGCTTGAAGACCCATGCTAGTCACATTTTCTGAAAATCCATGATACATGTATTTTATTATTAAAAGTTTACGGTCATTTTGCTGTTTACCATTATGTAATATTGCATCAGAATAGAAGAAAACACAATTTTGGGTGCTGCTGCCATGAAGACCATTATGGGAAAACCATGTTACTTATGATTGTCAAACTGTCAAAAAAGAAATACAGGACTAAAATGCAGCCTGAGTTGGAAAAGCAGTCTAATTGGCTTCTTTTTCTGGAAGTTATACATTTTCAAAGTGTGAACTTGAACTCCCATGGGCCTGAAGCCTTATGCTTGTTACACATTTTACTTACATTGGTATTACCTGTTGAGCATAATTAAAATTTGATGTCGAATTTGCAGTTTAACACAATGTACTTTTGCATCAGAATTGACAGTAGCCTATTTTGTGCATAGTTATTTCCTGCTTTTTGTCTGTACATTTGACAGCTTTGCTGCCTTGTTTTTTTTTTTTTTTTATTTTTTATTTTTTTTTTTTTTACATTTTCCACATCTAAACAATTTTATAAGTTGGCTATATAAAAATAATGGTAAATCTTTTATTGTGTAATAAAATATGAAGAATGGAAATAAACTCAACTCATAACAGTGCAATTTCAATCCTTCGCTATGTTAAGAATCTCGGAATAGAGCAAATTTGACATTTAAATTTGTTCTATTGATATTTTTCTCATCTTAACAATTTTTAGTTGACCATATAAAAATGAATGTAAATTATGTATTATGTAAAGAAAGTGTTGGGAATGGAAATAAGCTTATTGTAGTTCAGTTATCTCTTGTTTAAAATTTGAAATTCCATGGGTAGAAGACCTTTGCTAGTCACATTTTCTAAATATATATGTTATCTGCAGTGCATAATTTAAATTTGATGGTGATTATAAGCTGTTAATCATATAATATTGTATTATAGTGGATTAAAAAATACTTTGTGTACTGCCACTACACTCGCTCTAAAAGGAAAACTGTGTTACTAATTATTTTGTAAGGTACCAGAATGATTGAAACACAGCTCAAGCTTGATTACATTATTTTTCTCTCTTGTTGTCTGTACATTTGACAGCTTTGCTGCCCTGTTCTTGGTATTAAAAAGTCAAACATTCTAATTTCTAATAGTATTGTTGTCTGTTTACAAACCATCATTATACAGGTAACAATAACTAGCCAATTGCAAGAAAATTGCTTATTGTTTCCTTTTGATGAAATTGTTTTTATTTGAATTTTAGATATCGTTGTATTTGAGAGACAACAAATGCCTGTTAGAAAACTCAGAAAAAGTGACCAAAGTTTTAGATCTCATCTGTGAGAAGAATATGAAGTCCAAAGAAACCAATGACATCCGTGCCATGAAGTCTCACTACATGTCCTTCCTTGTCAAACAGTGTCACAAATTCTGGCAGGACAAGCAGGAGAATTTGTCTGCATGGATAAAAAGGTACACCTACAATGTGAAGCATGCCAATTGGAATACAATTGCATATTTATTTTTAGACTAGTAGTGCAAGTGCTCAGAAGGTGGAAAAAGCATGAAACATGAAACTGTTCTTTGGACTTTCATTTTTTGGCTGATCATTTTCAAGTATAGTAAATTTAATCATCGTTCATATGTTTTAATATATTCTAATGGATTTTGCCTCTGATGCAAACATCATAGTCTCCATTGCTCAGGCCTCATAAATGATAATTGCTGTTGCCGAGCACGAGCCTCAGATTCCCGAGCACAAACGCCAATATTAATGAGCCGCACCTCAGATTCACAAGCACAACGTAAAGTCAGCGAGCAAAAACTTAGCGTTGCCAAGCACTATCAATTTGTCCAGCTTCCATCCGGGGCCCTGGCTGCTTACATACGTGTTCTTTTTATCAACTCAGGACTATTTTCAAGATGGTGGAAGATACAAGAGACATAACTGTGGAACTTTCAGAGATTTCTGGGCGCAAACGAGTTATATTATCTACCCTTTCTGTCTCTTTTCCCGCGCCTAAATAATGACACTACGCAAATGATAAATAGGACGCACGTAAAAAAAATGATTCATCTACTATTTTCACCGACTGAGAAATATCTGTTTCCATCTATCAATATTTTAACTTGAACAAAATCAACGTAGAATATATAAAAATTCTCAAAACATTCCAAACTACTGTATTAGTATATTCCACTATCCATACCGTGTATTAATACAGCAGCAATGCATTCTCGACAACCTTCGGCTCATACAGAACATACCGAACGGGTAGATAAGCGGATCAACGGCTAGTGCTTGGCAGCGCTAAGTTTGTGCTCGTTGACTTTACGTTGTGCTTGTGAATCTGAGGTGTGGCTCGTTAATATTGGCGTTTGCGCTCGGGAATCTGAGGCTTGTGCTAGGAAACACTTAATCCGTTTATGAGGCCTGCATTGCTGTCTGGCAGCACGGACATGGCAAGAAAGGCATGGCAGTTACAGCCATATTGCATACAAAGACAAGTGAAAACGATAATAAGCAACCTTTCTATTTCATTCATTACCCATGTGTACTATGAAACTCTATAGTTTGCGAGTGGTCTGACCAGTCGTTAAATATCCATGGTAACAATGCCACAGTATAGAGTGAGAGAATTAGCGATAGCTTTGTGAAGTGGCACTCATAACTAGCGAAAGGCTAACGACGGATCACTAACTAATGACAGCTTCTTGAAACGGGCCCCAGTTCCTCTACACAGGACACTCTAGCTTTTGGCAAATATGTCCACAAAGGTCCACTGTTTTTGCACAAGTCCAATTATTTTGAACTTTGATAGAAGTACATGTTACTGTCCTGTCATTGATAAAAGTACAGTTGTTACTATCCAGTCACAGAGAAGCGTGAAATACTCACATAAAGCTTCTACTTATTCAGATATTTGCTGTGGTGAATTGTGAAGCTAATACATACAGGAAGGTTACAGTGAATTTAACATGTGCTGCCTATGCTTGTTATGCAGTCGTCTTTCCCACTTGAGCAAGCTGGGATACATTAAGGCAGCCTGTGAAAGCATTAAACACAAAAAGTGCCCCAAGTTTCTGTAGACCAAGTGATGCAAGTATCTCATGAGCAGGGATGTAGCAGAATTCATACCAAAGTTAAAATGCAATCCAAAGTTGTGCCCTTCCTAGCTGTGGCAGAACAGGTACTACAAGCACAACTATACAAGTATATATACTCTTTGAACAAGAAGCTTTTGAAAGCCAAGCATGATGGCATCTGTAGTATATACCATGATTCTGGAATCTGCCTTCCAGTGGTTTTAGGGAGAGAAGTTGACCATGTGTTCAGCAGGGGCACAGTGTGCAGTGTCACTATTTGTTACAAATGGAGACTATATGTTTGCTATTGAGGAGTTGAAACAACTGCCTTGTTGTCGTTCTAACGGACATTTTGTCCTTGTTTGTCCAAGTGTGAAATAAGTGCACGGGAATATTATGGGCAACACATGATGAATTCATTGAAACCTATTAGCCACACAATTCCCCACAGTGAATATGTGATGAAACATAAGCTTCATTGCGTATTTCACTATACTTCTCTGTGACAAGACAGCAACATGCACTTTATAAAGTTCAGAAGCTTCTATTCCCACACAAAGGCCATCAGATGTCATATCTTCCTCCTACCTCTTTGAGAAAAATAACTATGTTGGATTATAATATATTTGGGGAAACTACATGTAACGAAGCATTAACTGTCTATTAATTGCAAGGATTAAGAGTGATGATATATACAAGTGAAAGAGTTTAACATTTAGTCCAAACATCAAAATCATGAATTTTTTTCTTGTTCCAATTGTTCGACCACATCGTTTCAAGCCAGTGAAATGGATGCTGCATGCCTCGGCCCTTTGTCAATTGTTGTCTTTTCAGTAGCTCTGGTCAATGAGGAAGAAACAATTAATTGAAGATCTAATCTGGAAGCGAGATGTACCTGCCATTTTTTCGTTCCCGATGACAATAATAGTGCATACAATTTGTGCTAATTTAGCAGACTTGCCCTCGCTGACTGATTTGTCCAACCGAAAGATCAGTGGGATTGACCGCCCAGACATCTTGGCCCCAAATGCCATGCACTGTCAAAATCTGACAAATACGTGTAGCTATTCAGCTACATGGATAACTGATTTGTCAACAATAAAAATGATGTCTTCCTTATCTCCTTGTAAGAAAATACAGTAACTTATATGGCGGTGAAAAGCGGAGCTTCACAGAGAGTCCCACTAGGTATTTATGTTACCTGTGAGTCACTTTTTATTTCCCCAGATGCATGAAACGTTGATATTATTTAGTGTAATCCGTGAAGAACTCCATTCCTGTGACCCCCCTCCCCCACAATAGGACCGTCTTCATTAACATGTGGTTTGTGCTAGGTATGCTGGAGCAGACCAGATAAGACCAGTCTCTCATTTATGTGTTTGCTCAATTCTCACGTCAAATTGTAAATGCATCTGTTTTGTGAAAATTATGGCAATTAAATGCTTATTTTACGTTTGGGTTGTATCAGTGGGGTTTTCAATATGCACCGTGGCTTGTGCATAGCGAGTGTATATTTGTAAGAAAATCGGAAGAGTGCCAACAAGATATGTCTATCGGCACAGGTAGGCTCTGGAAATTGCCTTTTTTCAATATGTTTTAATATGACATGATTTTTAAATTAAATACTTAAAAGTAATTGAAAGGTACTGAATTCAGTTTGAGTACAAGTTGGTATTCTTTGACGCGATTGAATTTTCTTTGGAAATACGTCTCACTTGTGAAGCACATCATGAAAATGATCATAGGTGAAGGAAATAGATATAAATTACGAATTGTTGTCTGTTTGAACCTTAAGTAATGTAAGCACATATTGTACACAGCAGAAAAAGATTTCAAAAGGAGGATAAAATGTGCTTGAAACACGTGTTAGGCAAAAATTGCGGCTTATCTTGCGTGACACTTCGGGTAAAATGCAATACTTCCAGTAAGATGGACGTTTTGGCAGATGCCCCAAACAATCCTACGATATCAAAGGTTTCCATTGCTATATTTTAATCAATTCATCCAAAATGACATTTCCATGAAATTAATTAATTAATCTTGGTCGAATTGTTTGGCATATTACTGTATATGCAGTCCCAATAAGCAGTTATTCTGTTGGAAATGTTCTCAAAGAAAGATATTCTTGGACATCCAGACATTGGATATTTCCTTGGCAACTTTTTGTTAGTCTCAGTTCATGATAGTGATTGCTACTCCGGGTTCTTTCGTGCAGAATAAACATATTTCATCGATCTCTTTTTAATAATGTAAAGATATACACCCTTTGGTTGCTTAAGGTTAGGATAATTTTGATTCTTCTTTATAATTCATATGCAGCAGAATTTGAGATATCTTATCACTCCTTGTTTTGACTCACAGAGATCTCTTCAGTGCTTAACAGTAACCTATCAACCAACAAGGTAACCAAACTCCATTTAAAATGAAACATTGACAGTGTTAACATAAGGGAAATATATTTTATAACCCTTNCAAATAAATAGCTTTTTCATAGGGGAGTCCTTGGGTGGTAAAATACAAATCTTTAATTTTTCTTTATTTTTTCATGAAAATTTTCACCTGCAAACTAACAAAAAGTGCCAATGTGTCCTCCATTATACATACTACAATATCATAGTCATTTACTCAAATTAAATTAGATTTTTGAATGTTTTTTGGGGGGAGTCAGATTTACATGGTACACCGGGCCTCTGAGGCCCGGTTTCAGGGTTTACGTAGGGTTCCATTTCCTTGTGGATGAGGGTTAAAACATAAGAAAAGGCATATTACACACTATGGATCGTTTAAATGGCGATGTTGAAACTCTTGCCATTGTTGCCGTTGTTGGCTTGAAACTTACAGAACAGATGAATATTCATAATACGTGGGTCAAGTTCGAAAATCGGCATTTTTATGGAAGTTATGCTGTTTTTCACTTTTTTCAGCATATATGCAACACCGATAACATGATAAGTAAAAAAAAAAAAATGTTTTATCTTTTGGCTTACAACTTACAGAACTGATGAATATTCATAATACACATTACTTTGTGTACTTTTTATGTACAGACACAGATGTGTCTGTACATATAGCCATCACCTGCGTCTGTTGTCGCTGTCGCCGTGCACTTTTACCAATAACACGATAAGTGGAAAACCATTTTTTCTTTTGGTTTGAAACTTACAGAATTGATGAATATTCATAATACGCAGGTCAAGTTAAAAAATCAGCATCATCGGTCATTTTTAGGGAAGTTATGCTGTTTTTATGTACAGACAGATGTTTCTGTACATATAGCCATCACCTGCCACTAGTGGGCTTGATTTGGTCTTAAAGTGCAATTTAAGAACACAAATAGTCTTACATGATCTTAAAACATGAGTAAGACCATTTCTAGTCTAACAGCC